ATCACAATTTAAAGCCATGATGGACAGACTCCATTACAGTCACAAGTCGAGGATTACCTCTAGATACAGTATATTAAAATGTAAATTGGCAGGAAGGACACAGACAGGGCATTTTTCCTATCACTGTCTTGGGGGAAAAAAAAACAGCAGGGCAAATTCTCTGAAGTAGTTCGAGAGTGGTTGGAGTGACCTAGACAAGGCTACACATATTAACAGAATAACAGAACAACAGATTTGGAAGGGACTTTGGAGGTCTTCTAGTCCAACCCCCTGCTCAAGCAAGAGATCCTATACCAGTGGTGGCGAACCTATGGCACACGTGCCAGAGGCGGCACTCAGAGCCCTTTCTGTGGGTACGCACGCCATGCCCCGGAGATGGCAACCATCCCTCTTCAACCAGCCGCCCGCTAACTCGCCACCACGTGGCTGGATGCATCCCAGCACCCATGCGCTCTCTGGCCTCTGTGTGCAGGGGCCGATGGTGTCAGGCAGCCACCGCCCTGGCCCCTGCCTCACCTTGATCTGTGACAATGGCACCCCAGCCCTGCCTCACCATGCCTTGCCTCTCCCCTCAGGACGAGCCTCCTGCCCACGACCCCACCTGCAGAGACCCCCTGGATCTCCCCCAACCTTGTCCGCCCCCCACAGGCATCCCTCCCCACAAGCAACATTGAGGTGATCACGCCCACCTTGGCCACACCCACCCAATCTGCCATGACCACCACAGCCATGCCCATCAGTGGGCCATGCCCACCTGGCACCTGGCAATAAATAAATGGGTTTTGGGTTGCAGTTTGGGCACTCGGTCTCTAAAAGGTTCGCCATCACTGCCCTATACCATTTCAGACAAGTGCCTATCCAGTTTCTTCTTAAAAACTTCCAATGATGCAGCACCCACAGCTTCTGAAGGCAAGCCATTCCACTGGTTAATTGTCCTCACTGTTAGGAAGTTTCTCCTTAATTCCAGGTTGCTTCTCTCCTTGATTAGTTTCCATCCATTGTTTCTTGTCTTGCTTCTGGTGCTTTGAAAAATAGATTGACTCTCCTCTTCTTTGTGGCAGCCCCTCAAATATTGTAATACTGCTATCAATCAGCGTACTAGGCTAGGAGGACAGAAGATAATTCTCATATTTATTATTTATGTACATTTTATTCTACCTTTCTCATGGTTAATGCAGTATATGTGTATGGACACTCTCACAGGTATCTCAGGGTTCTTCCAAGAATAACAATTAGATTGAGAAATCATAATTGATCCAAGGTTTGCCACTGAGTTCCAAATTATATTATAATGCAAGTATAACTCAATGCAAGCATTTGTAAATTAACAGTACCACTAACTCTTAAATAATTTGTTTCGACTGCATGGCAGGAGACAGGAACAGTAAAGGTATGGAGAGATCCAGAACTATATGTAGACTGTCGTTTTCTTTTTGATATTCCATTCATTCATTCATGGTCAAAAACTAAAATAAAAACAATATTACAGGTAGTCCTCGACTTACAATCATTTTTAGTGACTGTTCAAAGTTACAACAGCATTAAAAAAGTGACTTATGACCATTTTTCACATTTATGACCATTGCAGCATCCCTTGATCACATGATCAAGATTTGTACGCTTGGCAACTAGCATATATTTATGACAGTTGTAGTGTTCCAGGGCCAGGTAATCACCTTTTCTGATATTCTGACAAGCAAAGTCAATGGGGAAGCTAACTTAACAACTGTCGTGATTCACTTAACAACTGAGGCAAGAAAGGTTATAAAATGAGGCAAAACTCATTTAACAACTATCTTGCTTAACAATGGAAAATTTGGGCTCAGTTATGATCGTAAGTCAAGGACTACCTGTATAGGATTCTTTTCTTCTGTTCAACTGTGTCTGATTCTCAAAGACTTCCTGGACAAATCCCTACAGTTTTCTTGGCAAGGCCAGAAGTGGTTTGCCATTGCCTTCTTCTTAGGGTGGAAAGTAAGTGACTAGTCCAAAGTCACCTAGATGGCTTTGTGCCTAAGGTGGGACTAGAACACTCACAGTGTCCTGAGTTTCTAGACTGATGCCTTAACCATTACACCTGACTGCCTCTTAATGTTATAGTATAAGTCCACAAAACAAGTAGAAAAATTAATATAAGGGTAAAACATTAAATGCTAGTGATCTATACAAGGCGTAAGTGGCCAGGCTAAACTGAAATCTACTTCAAACTTGTTTGTTCCAATGGTAATTGCAACTGAATAGAATTTGGTAAATTTCATATAAATCTCCACAGATTGATCCATTAGTAGAAAGTTCACAACCTTAATTTCAGGGCAATCCATGCATTTAATAAGGAGAGAAAAAATATTAACCTGGGACACCAAGCAAGACAAAGCACATTATTTCACCTAGCAAGAGTTAACATGATCATGAAGATGGTTTTTGCAAGGTGAGGGCATGGCCCTTGAGATGTTCTGATTCCTGGGTAATTTTCTCTTTGCTGACATTGTTTTTTTCTTCTTCAAGAAACATCTGCAGAAAAGGTAGTAAAAAGTTTTCAAAGCACTGAAAATAGGTCAAAGAATGCATGAAATTGCCCAGTGCCTCACCCTGATCTAACATAAATTTGAAATGAACACTTAATGAGGCCTTGTGTTCATTTATTAAGAGAACATTCCATTGCATGTACACTCTAAATGAACTAAGTAAAAAAAAGTAAGTCTTCTTGCTTTTATTTTTAAAATTTGTACTTCAAGTGTGGTTCATGCATAGATAATTCTTCCCATTTAGTTCTTTGCATGTTTGCAAATAGGAAGAAATCAAATCAAATCCAATAAAATCAGATTTATTAATCATACTTTGGAGTCTTCTAATGCTGCACATATCGCATAACTTTAGATTATCTAATATTATAATTATTATAATTCTAAAATATGTATCTAAAATGTAATGATTCTTCCATTATATTAAACATATTGAAATATTTTATTAATGATTTCACTTTTCAATAACACACAATATATGTTATCCATGTATAGTAAAACATGATTTATTGGAATAATGGGCCATCCATAGATGATAGTTTAGTATTGGTGATATTACTTTTAAGAGTAAATAGATTGGTTAAAGAATACAAGAAAGCCAAAATATATGTTGTTAAGCTGCTTTACTAATACAGGATTGTTCTCAAATCTAGCACGGCCATGAACTAGATTATATAGTTAGGTTAATTTGGGCAGTGGTGCTTTAGAGCAGTGGCCCCCGCCTTTTGAGTGCCAAGGACTGAATATGTGGAGAGAGGTTTTTCTGCAGACGGGAGGGGTGTGTGGTTTTCTGCTCTGCCTTCATATGCAGATAGGGCTTTGCTCATTTACATGGCCCTCAGGTTGAGGACTCCTGCTTTAGAGAACACAGTAGTCTATTCCAGAAGTACATAGAAGGCCACAAGTGAAAGTGAGTGCATACAAAACTGAATAAAGTATCCAAAATAATTTTGGAGAAGAAATCAGAGTTATAAAAGTGTTGGTGAGAAAAAAACCTAGGAAAGCAAGTGGTTCAAGGCGTCTTATTTTCAATTTCAAATACAATAGTCAAGGTGAAATTTGTAAATTTCACCCTTTCTAATCATTTTGATATAATACAATCACAACAAATGGAGGACCTGAACTGTATCTCTCTTGCTTTCTTTTATACTATCATAATGTACCATAGCATTCCATTATTTGATTTCTCCAAAGGTCATAAGTTCAGATTGCAACCATCTGATACAGCTATGACTCAGTTAGCAGATGGACACAATATTTCCAATATGCTGAAACAGGGTGAATTTAAGGCAGAGGTGTCAAACTCACAATGTCACATGACGTGTCACATTGTATCGCGACTTTTCCATTGCCAGCAATGGGTTGGGCACAGTTTCAGCATGATGCATCCGGCCCGCGGGCCGGCAGCTTGACACCCCTGATTTAAGGACATGTGAGCAAGAGCCTTCTAGCACTTCTTAGGACTACTTTCCTTTCTGCTTAATTTCATGGCTGCCGTGGTACATTCTTACAAAATAACCCACTGTCTTTTAACCTGACAATTTTACAATGTGTGTATTTGAAGTCCATACATCTTAAAGTGCCAAGTTTGAAAAACATAGGTCTAATCCTAGTAATGTATTACCAGTAGAGTTTGGCATTATGGCTAAAAAAGTGTACTCCTTTGATTTATGTATGTTAGTTTCCAAGGCACTGTGAGTATATTACCACAAATACAACAACAACAAACAAACAAAAAAGCATGTGGTAGAAATACACCACAATTAACACGGATTGAATATTAAGGCAGGCACATCTTAGAACAGGGGTCCCCCACCTCTGGGCTGCAGCCCATACCAGGCCATGACCCATTCGGAACCAGGCTGCTGAAGAGGTTCGGTGAGCATGCATGCATCCAGTTCTATTTGTGCGAGCTGTGGGCCCGTGTGCCTGCTGCTTGTGCAAACGAAGCAGTATGCTCACATGCACTCACTCACCAGTCACACGTGCTTGTGCTCGCCCACTGCTCATGCAGAACCATTCCCTCTTCCCCCCACCCCTGGTCCGCAAAGCCAGAAAGGTTGGGGATCTTAGAACATTTGCAAACAGCTGGTGATAAATTCTGCACATCTTTCTTCTCTATCTTCTTCTTACCCTAAATTATTTTGATTTAGAAAACTGAACCAAATTCCTGTTTCTGCATCCAACAATTCTTGTTTTGTAATATTCTTGAGCTGAGTGGTCACAGGATGAAGACTAAAGAAAATATTATTTACATTTAGATGACTGAAAATCTGGAATGATGATACTACATTACTATAAAGCATAAATATAATTTAGTGCTAATATCTAGTATTGAAATACCAAGAAATAATAGTAATGAATTGTATACCAACATTACAAATTTACAGAATTTTCTTGATACATTTTCAGGTTGCAAATAAATATAAACTAAATACAATAAAGAATTTTTTCATTTGTTTTTTTTTCATATCACAGGGGTATTATTTTTTTTGAAGATAGAACCTACATTTTGGAGCCACTGGAAGGTGCTATGAATGAACATATAATCTATAGACCAAAACACCCAAACCTAATCCTGGGTACATGTGGCCATCATCTCAATCTTACTGGTATCACTTTGGGGGATACTGCACAGCTTATTCAGACATTTACTAGCAGAGTAAGTGACAGTTTAATTTAATTTTCTGTTTTAGATGATTTAATTTAGTTTTCTCGTGTTTTTATAGTATATATTTAAACAAATGTGCTGTTATGTCTGAAAATTGAGGTGCCAGCTGATAAAAGTATATGTGTTTGTTTGTCTGTTCATTTGTTGAACTCCCAAGGAGAAAAACACCCCCCTCCCACCAACAATTCAGGGCAAGCTATTGTATATAAAGAGGGCGCAAATCCCACACTCACCAGGACAGATAGTATTATGTAGTTTAGTAGCGAAATGTTTGCAAACAACCAAACTCAGAGAGCACCAAGGTCTCCACATTTAGATTATCCACACTCAGAAAATTTACCAACATCATAATAATAGAGGATCAGATCCATAATTTACAAAAATAAAAGTTTACCTGCTGTATATTTTGGAGTGGTGCCTTTGAGAATAAGTTCTTTTTGTAAGCGATTAATAATGATGAAGGGATTGGTGTCTTTTAGCAAAGTAGTTTCTCTTCTTAAATACTTGCTAAAGGTTCCAAGTTTAGTATATCAGATTGAGGTGATTTGGAAAGCATAGCTTTAGAACAAGAAAGCAAAATTGGACTGCTGTAGTTATTTGTAGGAATTGCTATAGGAATACTAAAAACTATTTAATTTGATACAATAAAAGCTTTAAGTGATATGTAATACATACTGTTGAAAGTTTTTTTTTAATTGCTGGAAAATGAGTCATGCCTAACTATGTAATTGGAATATATAATACTGACCCATTGTAACTACTGTATGTGCATATATCTTGAAATCATTTTATATGAATTTATATGAATATATATTTCCCATTTTGGGGGTTGTTTAAGGCTTGTACCTATAATAAAGCTTTTATTCATGAAAATATGTCTGAATACAACGTGAATAAGCAACGACACTGCTTTGTAAATCAGGTAGGCAGGACAAGAAGCAACGGGTGGAAACTAATCAAGGAGAGAAGCAACCTAGAACTAAGGAGAAACTTCCTGACAGTGAGAACAATTAATCAGTGGAACAGCTTGCCTCCAGAAGCAGTAAATGCTCCAACACTGGAAGTTTTTAAGAAGAGACTGGACAGACATTTGTCCGAAATGGTGTAGGGTTTCCTGCACGAGCAGGGGGTTGGACTAGATGACCTCCAAGGTCCCTTCCAACTTTACTATTATTATTATTATTATTATTATTATTATTATTATTATTATTATTATTATTAGGTGCTATTTGCTTATAAATTAAGGTATAAGAGTGAATTGTTAGAATTCATGGAGATGTTCCATGTTTAACATATGATATGGCTGATATGGCTATTATTTCAGATTTTATATTATAAATGTCGTATAGGTGACACCTTAATTTTGAAAAATATTATATCTTGTACAATGCTGAGGTATAATGAGTAATATATTCAGAATATGATATTTGAAATAACTTGTTGCTTATTGAGGCTAAGGTAATTTTGATTTTCCTAGTACCTGAATAAAATGATTGGTCAATTTTTTTATCTGTAGATTATTCATAATATTTAAGTTGCTTAGTATTATAGCACTGGGGTAGAAAGATATACGTAGAAATGTAGATCTTCTTAAAATATAACAGCTCTTATTTCATGCTTGTTTTGATAGCACAAAAGAGAAACTCTGAAGTCCACCAAGTATGTGGAGCTCGTAATTGTGGCTGATAATCGTGAGGTGAGCAAAACCTAAAATTAAAAATATTATGGATATAAAGACATACACGTATTTATAAATTGATGGAATAATAGTACCCTATTCTGAATTTTCCACACAATGATAAAACTAATTATCTGTCCCATTTGGACATTTAAATCTTTGCTACATTGCCTAACTTTGAATCAGAGGGAATAGAAATTTCTTCTACAAATAAGAAAATCTTTATAATATTGGTTTCTTTAGATGTAGTTTACCAACTACAAGTTATATTCAAGGTTGCATAAATTACTGAAGTTTTGCTAAAGAAATTCATAATGGATGGATTTTTACGCTTTGTAAAAATTAATGGAAGCTGTGAAGTGCAATCAAAAACATTTTTTAAAAATTTGCACTATATTGCCATTTGCATTTTTCCACATTTAAAAATTACTGATTAGTTAAATAATAATATTTTCTCTCTATCCATCCATGGTAAATAACTAAATGAAAACTTTCCTTTTGTACCGCATGAAGTGTCCCAATGAAACAATTGTGTGAGAAACAAAATTAAAAGCAACATTTTCTTTAAATTTGAAAAACTATATTCTTTCATGCAATCTGTGCTTCTTTCAATTATATAAGAATTATACTATAAGCAGTAGAAAGATGCCTCTGGCCTTTTTTCAATGTAAAATCTAGACATTGGTGTTACTGCTTTTCCAAAGAAGGCAAGTTAGATTTCTCGAGTACTAAATATATTTGTTGATAATTTAAATGATTAAAAATCATTTCTAGTTTCAGAGACAAGGCAAGGATGTGGAAAAAATGAAACTGAGGCTAATAGAAATTGCAAACTATGCTGATAAGGTAAGTTTTTCATTGGTACTATAACAATTTCCTTTGCTATAGGGCAGTCTGCTTGACTAACCAGTCAAGTCTAATCTTACAATCAGGTCGTTCCAAAGGTGCTTTTTCAAGAGCAACTGGACTTTCTTATTTTTCTTGAAGACGTTTCACTTCTCATCCAAATTAACCTATACTATATAATCTATTTCATGGCCATGCTATATTCAGACAATACAGACTTATCCCCAGCAGCCTTTACCTATATTCAACAGTGAAGGGACACAGGGCAGAAAACATCCCGCAGAAAGCACAGCTCCACAACACAGTCCTTTCAGCAGTTCCAAGAAGGTGCCACACCCATTTGCACTACTCAGGTGACTCTGAGGACACAGATAAACCTTCAAGTGGCCTCAATGACTTTCTAAAAGAATGCAAATGACCATCTGTCTGCAAGGAATAGCAATCCTTCCATCCCTCACCATCCAGTCAAAGCATCTTCAAAGAAAACATCTTCATAGAAAAATAAGAAGGTCCAGTTGCCTCTTGAAAAAGCACCTCTGGGACAACCATAACCTGGATGACTGACATTTATAGTCAGATTATATTATATTATATACAGAAGGATCTGGACAGACTTGAACACTGGCCACTGTCGAACAAAATGAAATTCAATGGTGAAAAAAGCAAGGTTCTACATTTAGGCAAGAAAACTCAAATGCACAGGTATAGTATAGGGGGTACCTTGCTCAACAGTAGTAACTGTGAGAGGGACCTCGGAGTCCTAGTGGACAATCACTTAAATATGAGCCAGCAGTGTGCTGCAGCTGCCAAAAAGGTCAACACAGCACTAAGCTGCATTAACAGAGGGATAGAATCAAGATCACGTGAAGTGTTAATACCACTTTACAATGCCTTGGTAAGGCCACACTTGGAATACTGCATCCAGTTTTGGTCACTGCAATGTAAAAAAGATGTTGAGACTCTCCAAAGAGTACAGAGAAGAGCAACAAAGATGATTAGGGGACTGGAGGCTAAAGCATATAAGGAATGGCTGCTGGAATTGGGTATGTCTAGTTTAATGAAGAGAAGGATGAGGAGGGGCATGATAGCAGTGTTCCAATATCTCAGGGGCTGCCACAAAGAAGAGGGAGTCAAGCTATTTTCCAAGGCGTCTGAAGGCAGGACAAGAAGCAAGGAGAGAAGCAACCTAGAACTAAGGAGAAACTTCCTGACAGTTAGAACAATTAATCAGTGGAACAACCAGCCTCAGAAGCGGTGAATGCTCCAACACTGGAAGTTTTTAAAAAGAGACTGGATAGCCATTTGTCCAAAAGGGTATAGGGTTTCCTGCCTAAGCAAAGGGTTGGACTAGATGACCTCCAAGGTCCCTTCCAACTTTACTACTACTACTACTACTACTACTACTACTACTACTACTACTACTACTATTATTATTACTATATATAGACAATCTGTATTATATAACAATACAAAAGCATGAGAATAGCCTTGCAGGACCAGATCATGGCCTATCTTAATCCAACATTCCCCTCCCTCCACACTGCCTCTGGGTACTCCAAGAAGGAGATGTAGATTCTTCTATTATTTCTACCACTCTTTCCCTGCAACTGTCATTTAGAAGCATACTTCACCCAACTCAATGGTAATAGCAGTAATAATTTATGTATACTTGATATAATTTTCCTTGTATATGTGCTATTTTAAAATGCTGTGAATCGATTGTTGTCCCTTATGATCTAACCATCATCTATGTAATTAGACACATACACTGAATGTTAGACACATAGTACATTTTTGTATGCCATCAAATATTTTAGAAGGCATCATCTTTACTGACTGAGAGGAGAAACTGAGAAAGAAGTTGTCCAATGAATTATATAACATGTCTACTATTTATAGTATCTACAATTTGTCTCTTTTATTAACTTTAGAAGTTGTGCAAATATAATCCAGAATTTTTATCTGGTTTTCTCATTAGTTCTACAGGCCATTAAATATTAGAATAGTTTTGGTTGGATTAGAAGTCTGGAATGATGTGGATAAATGTACAGTAACTCAAGATCCCTTCACCACTCTTCATGAGTTTCTGGATTGGCGAAAGATGAAACTACTACCTCGTAAACCACATGATAATGCACAACTAGTCAGGTAAGCCTACAAACACCAAAACTGGAACTTAGAATTTTAGATGCATTATGTTGCTAGAGACATGACAAAAAGAAAGTTGGTGAATAGAAGGGCAATACATAGGCTACATATTAATTGAATCCAATAATATATGGTACTATTGTCATTCCTCTAGAAAACACTACATTCATATCATGGGTATGTTAGTAAAATCCAAAATTATGTCCCTATATAACTCTATTCCCTGTATTCATTATTTTTAACATAGTTTCTTGTCTTCCATTAGTGGAATCTATTTCCAAGGTACCACCATTGGCATGGCACCTATAATGAGCATGTGCACTAGAGAGCAATCTGGAGGCATTGTTATGGTAAGTACTATAGGTACCAAGATTGATCCTATATTATAGCTGGAATGAAACAAGCAGGAACAAAATAACAAGCTCCTGTTCTGTTTTCTCTATCTTTTTTTTTTTTTTTTTTTGCAACTATTTGAATTTGCAAATGATTGAATGGATGCTTCCATTTTGGCGTTTTAGTTTTACTTTCTCCTAAATTGGTTTACCAAAACAGCAACATAAACTGAAAATGTGCTATCTGTATTTAATATGAAAATCTTTCCAAAATATTTATGAGATATGCTGAATTTGCTGCTGTCCAGAGAGATGTAATAGAAGCCTTTTTAGATAATTGCTTATTTTTTCCAATTCCCAGTAATAAGCTTTTATTATACTGACAAGTGACAAAGTACAATATGCTGTTTTAACTTTGAAAAAGCTTTCATATCAACTGTATTTTTGGTAGAATATATATTTTAATAGTCTAAAAGGTAGAATATATTTTAATATTGTTTTGGTAACCTTTCCAATATATATATATATGAATGAAAATGATAGACTTTGGTTCTATTAAATACAGTGTAAACATGGATTTCAAAGAATTAACCTTAAGATATCAGCTGTTCTTTACCTGAGGATTTTGATTGCCAATAAAAATAACTGTAATTGCATAATATTTTGGCTTTCGGGCATAAATTAAAAATAAAATGCATGGTTTAAAGTACAAGTCCACAAAGAATACTAAAGAAAGATTGAAGGATTACTCTAAGTGTAATTTAATAGATCTCCACAGGAACAGACAATGTTGAAATTGCTCAGTTAAGCCTCTAACTGTTGATGTGAAGTTGATTCTTCAGTGAACTCTTATTTCCGAAGATTCCCTATTAAATATAGAAGATTTGGAAATCATGAAGCGGCATCAAGGAAGAGTTTTATTTAAGTCTTTATTGATGTAAAATACTCTCTTGAAGACTTGCCCTGCCTGAAAGGGATGACTTTCCTTCTAACTGGATAAAGGCAACCTCTGTCTTCATTCCTTCTTTTTAAGATTACCAACAGTGTGTCATTTAAATTAAACATTTGTGATGTTTCCCTGTGAGCATAAAGTAAATTTATTTAAATATAAAACAATGCAAATTACTTACTGGCTGAAGAGAGACAATAGCACCAATACCAGTAACTTCCTCTTTTTTGAACAATAAATGCCCGTAAATCCTCAGCTCAGAAATAAATTATGCCACAATAAGTGAGGACACAAATAAAGTTCGCAAAAAAAAAAAAAACCCAGGAAAATAAATGTTTTTAAAAAACCAAAGAAAAAGCATCACATCAGCATAAATTCCTTGTATGGTTAAAATTCTTTGTTTTTCCAAACTCAGACATATCCCAATATCTCCTGAGGAGTGTTTCCCACTTTTCCCATTTCTCTTTTATGTCATAAACAAACTCATTGCTTTCAATGTTTGGAACAAAACTCTAGCTCCCAGATTTTAAACTAACCCAGCTATTTCTCCCTCCAAAACATCTGCAATTCACAAGTGAGAACAGATGCAATCTGATTGTAACATGTTTAGAAACAATAGTGAAATCACAGCAATTAGTATTTGTATATTTTAACATTGATATTTTTTACAAGGAAGAATAACAAATGGACTTTGTAAGGAGATCTCAGTTTGAAAAATGTTGTTAAATAATGACTTACTTTCAAGTAAATAATGTTTACTTTCACAGACATGTCAGAACTGGTTATGTTGAATGAAGAAAGATAACTACACTATTTCAGAGGGCATAGTAGCAATATCAAGCATCAGATTTTGTGTTTGATGCAAGTGAAGCAATCGTTAGTCACTTAAATTGATTTTAAATATCTGGGGAAGGTTTCTTAAGATGGGAAAGAAGTAAGGATATTAAAAAGTGATTATAAAATCAGTTCCTTACTTTAAAGGAAAATAAAACTGGGTGTAGCACATGCTTAGATTTTTTTTAAACTGAATTTTAAAGTCTGTAAGTTAAATTCTTAGTAAAGCTAATGGGAAAAGGAGCTTAAGATCAATGGGGAAAAAACAATTACAAACAAATCCAATGAGAAAAAAAGGAAGACAGAAGAAGAAATCAAACTATACAAAAGGCTTAGTGAAAATCTGAAAATAAAAAGGACACTCACAGGAAATTCAGAAAAAAAATTATGAAACAATAGAACAAGTTGATATTAACACACTAAGAAAGGGTTTCTTTTCATACAGTCAGCTAAAAAATGAAGGCAGTAAAATGTTTATAGGTAATACAGAGAAGACTATTCACCTCTTCAACTCTGTCCAACAGTAAAGTGTGTGCTTCATCATACAATTGTGAAGAGCTGGATGAATAAAGATCAGAGGATAACTATTTACTTAGTAATATAACTATTTACTTAGAGTTTAATTTCCAGTATCAGGTGAACTGCATCTTAAAATAATGAAGAAACTATCCTCAGATAGTGAAGAAACTAACTGGTGCTTGTTGTTGTTATTGTTAATTGTGAAGTCGTGTCCGACCCATCGCGACCCCATGGACAATGTTCCTCCAGGTCTTCCTGTCCTCTATCATCTTCTGGAGTCCATTTAAGTTCACACCTACTGCTTCAGTGACTCCATCCAGCCATCTCATTCTCTATCGTCCCCTTCTTCTATTGCCCTCAATCTTTCCCAGCATTAGGCCCTTTTCCAGTGAGTCCTTCCTTCTCATTAGGTGGCCAAGGTATTTGAGTTTCAACTTCAGGATCTGGCCTTCTAAAGAGCAGTCAGGGTTGATCTCTTCTAGGACTGACCGGTTTGAACGCCTTGCAGTCCAAGGGACTCGCAGGAGTCTTCTCCAGCACCATAGTTCAAAGGCCTCAATTCTTTGGCGCTCAGCCTTTCTTATGGTCCAACTTTCACAGCCATACATTGCAACTGGGAAAACATGGCCTGGACTATACGCACTTTTGTTGGCAGGGTGATGTCTCTGCTTTTTAGTATGCTGTCTAGATTTGCCATAGCTTTCCTCCCCAGGAGCAAGCGTCTTTTAATTTCTTGGCTGCAGTCCCCATCTGAGGTGATCTTGGAGCCCAGAAAAATAAAATCTGTCACTACCTCCATTTCTTCCCAATCTATTTGCCAGGAATTGAGAGGGCCAGATGCCATGATTTTGGTTTTCTTAATGTTGAGTTTCAAGCCTACTTTTGCACTCTCCTTCTTCACCCGCATCAAGAGGCTCTTTAGTTCCTCTTCACTTTCTGCCAGTAGAGTGGTATCATCTGCATATCTTAGGTTGTTGATATTTCTCCCGGCAATCTTAATTCCAACTTTTGATTCATCTAGCCCTGCCTTTCTCATGATGTGCTCTGCATATAAGTTAAATAGGCAGGGCGACAGTATACAGCCTTGCCGGACTCCTTTTCCAATTTTGAACCAATCAGTGATTCCGTGTCTAGTTCTCACTGTTGCTTCTTGACCCGCATATAAGTTTCTCAAGAGACAAATAAGATGGTCTGGTATGGTGCTACCATATTGTTAAATTCATGTATCAGTCTGGTGGGTTGCCAGGTGAGCACAAGAGAGTAAAAGTTTCCTTATCTTTAGAAAGGAGAAAAAAGTAGATCCAAAACTACAACCTAGTAATTATACCCAAGATTGATTGATTAACTGATAGATAGTAATCTTTTGGGGTTGAAAGAGAAACACTGTTGTATTGTAGTCCACCATTGTACAACAGTTTGTTTAGTGACTGTTTAAAATTGCAACAGCACTGAAAAAAGTGACTTGTGACCGTTTTTCACACAACCGTTGCAGCATCCCCAAGGTAAATGATTAAAACCAGTTGGCAATTGGTTCAGATTTTTTAAAAAACAAGTTTTATTAATTTTCCAGTTTTACAAAAATCCAAATATTAAGGAAGTAGCATAGTGATTGGGTAATCAATAGTCCAATAACAATATCTTTCGTACATATCTCAGATTGCATCATCAAAAATTCCCTCTCTATTTCCCTTGATTATTATATCTCATTCAAATTAATACATTGCTAATTATAATTCGATCAGTTAAAACATTTATCAATATATTTTAACTTATACATATACATATCCTGTTTTAAACTTTTACCTAATTTCAATTACAGTGTTCCAATTTAGCTTAATATCCATAGTATTTAGATTTCGGGTAACCCAAATTTCCCTTATTTCATTACAAAATAGTTGTCATATCTAAAATACACATAATGTTTACTTAAATAGATTCTTACTTTATTTCACAAATATATTCTATTTCTCATCCTAGTACCTCATCACTTACTAATAAAGTATTGTAAATCTAAGTCCTAAATATTAAATCAATTAATATCTTTTAAAATCTCCTTAGCCCATTAAGTAAGATTTTAAGCTCTTCCATTATAAAACAAAAAAATCACATTTTTTAAAATCTGACTCTAGCTTTCTTTTTGTGCAAAGCAGGCTTCCATACCAGTGCCTTTAAATCCTCAGGTGGATCTCCCTTCATTCCCACACATGTTATTTGAATCAAGGGAAACCATCCAGTTTTTTTTAATAAGTTTTTTATTAAGTACAAAGAAAAAAAAGGATTAAAAACATTGAACATGGTAAATCATCTTTGACTGACATTTTAGTCCATATTGTACATTAATTACATATAATATATCTATATACAACTGTACATTTCTGCTATCTCAACTTATCTCTTTACCTCCATTTTTCCCCTCCATCTATAAAATTTATTCCATATTTGATAAAATTCTGTTTCTTCCTGATTTTTTAATCTTTTAGTTATCCTATCTAATTCTGCGCAATACATAATTTTCTTTATTAGTGCTTCCCCACTCGGTACTTCCATTGCTTTCTACTTTTGAGCAAATAGTATCCTTGCTGCTGTAACCACATGGATAATTAAATATGTGTCCTCTTTATTTACATTTTTCTCTAGTATTCCTAATAGTAATGTCTCAGGTTTGTATTAAATGTTTTGACTAGTCATTCTATTGCCCATTACCAGACCATACGCC